GGATATCTCGCCTACGCCATAAGTGACGCAGGTTGGCAAAAGCCAATCGAGCCTTCTGTATCCGTGCCGAGATTTCGTCAGTCACCATGCCATCGGCACTGATGAGACTCTCAAGATAAGTGAAGCGGTCTACATGTTCGACCACTTCACTCCCTATCACTAGTTCAGGTGACGAAGAAATCCAATCTTGAAGCAACATTTTGCATTTCGAAGGGGAAAACCGCATCCCGAACATGCTTGCATTGTTGCTCAGGGTAGTCAGAAGACTCTGCATTTTGTCAGCGTCTTCACCAAGTAGGACTATGTCATCGGCATATTCTAAGTCAATAAGCGAGCCACCTGGTAAAAGGTCTACTCCAGAAAATTCAGACGAGGATAAGGTTATCTCTAGGAGCATGTCTATGATAAAAGTAAATAAGAATGGAGAGAGTGGACATCCCTGACGGACACCAATTGAAGTAGAGAATTCCGGTGACAGTTCGCCATAAGCTCTCACTCGACCAGTGGTGTTTGAGTAGAGAGCTTGTATGAGGTTAATGTACTTATTTGGTACACCTTTCAATGACAGACACTGCCACAGAACCTCACGATCCACAGAGTCAAATGCCGCCTTAAGGTCCAGGAAAACAACTATAGGGGTTCTAGTAAAAGATGTTTGCATTTTTCTGTGCAGTCTAGAGTATGGTTCCATCCTAGCAGTCTCCACGTGAAGCTGCTTTGGATGTTTTCTACTCCTATCTTGTCTTTGATATTCATGTTTGAAAAGTTAAGTGAGCAGTATTCAAACAAGGGCTTCATACATATTTTGAAGAATGTAATTTAGCCTCATTTGTCAAGAAGTTCCTACTTTTAGACCCCATTAACCATCTAGATTTGCAGATAATAGAAGATGCTTGCTCTTCAAATTTTAGGCTTCTGTAATAATTAATAGTCAGACTATGCGCTGAACCTTATCATTTATGTAAGTAGAGAGGTGTTTCATGGTGATGCTAGGTAAAATGCATGATGCCACGTTTGTTTTGGTTTAAAAGTATTTGTGATGTTTCACTTCAGGTAGATAAGTTGTCACGGTCACTGTGAATTCCGGCTATATTTCCGTCCAGATCTTCAGACTTATTGTTGTATACTATTTTCAGATCATCAGCATATTAGTATGCTTTTCCAAATCTTGTAGTATTACATGCATTGTTTATGTACATAAGAGACATGACTGGACCTAATACACTTCCCTGGATAACTCCATTAGTTATTGGTCTTGGTGATGAAAGGCAATCGTTATATTTTATGGTTTGTTCATGTCCATCCAGGGAAGAAACAAACCACGAATAAAATAGGTTACCGATTTCAAATGACGTTAGTTTAAGGAGAAGCCCTCTGTGTGGAACCTTGTCAAAAGCTTTTTCAAAGTTGAAGAATAGGACTGATACCAGAGGCCCTTTGCCTTGCTCTTGAGTATTATCATAGAGATTATCTAGCAGGCATGACCTGAACCTCGAGAAACCATACTGTGATGTCGAAATCAGATTGTTATTAAGTAGGTGTTATAATAAAGCTGCTTTCTATATCACCCTAGAAACTACTGAAGGAATGTTTATGGGTCGGTAATTTTCAACATTTGCCGAAGGCCCAGATTTAGTTCGGGGATGATATGTTTGGTCTTCTGCTGTGAAAGATAAGAACGAAAAAATGCGAATTTAAATTTTAAAAACCACCGAATGTTAAGGGTAGCACTTAAAAGTAAATGTCACTGCCTCTTCCCATCCTTTTGATTCTTAGCTTCGTAGGTATTATTATCTGGGGAATCTCAACAAGAAGATCAATGCACATTTGCCATATCAATGCCTGTAATATTCCGCCCTGGATTTAACTCGCATTGATCCTAAACGAGCATTAGTTCGTCGTAACGGTAACGACGTAACTTGCTCCAAATATTTTACTGTACTTTCCAGAGTCTGAAACATTCTTAACAATTTTATGGGAAAAATGTTAGCTCTCTATAAAAAGCCAGTATATATAATAAATTGTCTCTCTAAGTGAACAACCTTCCACAGTGTTTGTGTTAGCATCTTTAACATTTGATCTTGCCTTTAAATTGGTATAACTCATGTCATTTCAGAATAAATTTCTATCATTGTATTATAGTTATTGATGACAGCGCATGTCTTCTTTCTGAAGGTGAGAAAGTTTAGGCAGTTCTTCGCCCTGGAAGCTGTTTAAAGTAGTTATACAAGAAAAGCTGCCTGCAACTACGTTTTCTGTTGAATAAGAATGCCGAAGGTGGCCAGGTATTGATTAACCATAGTTTTAAAACTCCTCTTGTTAGTGAGTCAGATGCATCAATCACGGTACTAATGACTGCTTTAGTGTCTAGTTGTGCCAACGTAATCGACCTAGCTATGTGTCCCATCAGTGCGCGAAATGCTTTCTTCGAAGTTTCGTCTAAGTTAATGGTCTTCACATTTCCACGTTGTTAATCGGTCCCGAGTATCCTGAGAGACTCTCATTTCAGCCTGCGTAAACTTACCACTTTGTTAGATGTGAGTAGTCGCTTGACTGAGGTCGGTTATAGGTAATCTGAAATGTTTCGACCCTTTTTATTTTCCAGAGGGTGAATAATATGCCAAAGAAAGTCAAGGAAACCTCTTCCGATATTACATTTCTGCATGTTAATGGTAAAGTCGGTGTAAAACCAAAATTAGATGCTGAAGATGAGATTCGCTCTCCGGAATTGTGACTAAACACTCATAAACCTAAGCACTCACAAAGTGGAGACCTCTGTGAACGTCATCAGTAAGTCTTTGAAAAGTTTGGACGATAGTTTTTAAACTTAAAGACATTCGTAGTGTGCAAAAGGAGTAGCGATAGACCGTTTAGATATATCTTTCACAGTCATAGGGATTTTGTCTATTCGTCGGGCTTTTGAGAATACTCGTGGTCATGTAATCGTGTCATGATACGCAAAACTAGTTGGTAAAAAAGGATAATTGGGACTAAGTTTTGCACAGTCTTGTGTACCTGTCGAGTATCTGTCTGGAGGATGTGTTGATTATGTTTTTACCTACGACTGCGCTAAGCCTACAACTAGAGAATGAAACTCTGAAAACAGACAATTCACTACTACCGTCTACTGATATCCGTCGCGGCAATCGGTTTCCCGTTCGTTATCCCAAATTGAAAGTTATATAGCGTGTACCAACGTTCGTATTCGTTGGGAGGAAGATGACGTCTGCGCCAGTTTGATGAGGTAGCGAAACTTTGTCATCATATCAGTGATGCAGAGGAAGCGGTTTCGTCCATCGATAACTGTTGCGATTGACGCGTCTCGAGCTTCCTGGTATATTTGTGACAGGAAATTTAGGGATAGGGAAGCATTAGAGTTCTCTGAGCCTTTGGAAGATTTGATGGTAGGTGTTGCAGTAAGAACATCGGCTCAAGGTTTTTGTTTCTCGCGGTCTCGAAATAAATCTTTTTGGAGATAGGCTTCGTCGGAGAGACTTCTATCGTTCGCGAATGTGCTGAAAATTTCCGTTATGGAGATGGTTGTTTCACAGAGATCTGTAATTAATTTTCATGTTGCTCACAGTGTTCGTTGAATAGAATAAATCGCCTAGCTGAGAGTTCTAAGATCTTCAGAATACGATCTACAGATGTAGCTTGTTCATTTACTTCATTATTTTGGAATGAGACAGGTATGTCTTGCAACTCTTGCGGATGTGTGGACAGAAGGAGTCGCCTGAAAAGGCCTTCGTCGGAGGTTCGTAGGCCTTTCTTATAAGTAGCAACATTCCTATCGCCTAAAAGTGTTGCAGTTCACTGTTGTGAGAAGTTAGTTCAACCTTTGCCAATCAATAAGGACTCCATGTTTGAGAATCGCACAATTAGTAAATTTATATAAATATAAAATGTCTTGAAAAGGAAGACTCAAATTAAATAGTTGAGTGTAGCAGATAACCTCGTGCTCACCACTGAAGATGTCATGGATGTTCAGAGTTGGACAATGTCCCTGTCTGTAACACAATTCAGACCGAGTATACCCTAAGTCAAGTCAAACCGGAAGTCAGGACTGGAGAGTATTGAAGCTTCTTTGAAAGGCGGATGGAATGGGGGGATCAGTGAACTAAGCTTGCGAGTTGATGCAACGAGATGAGTTGCACAATATGCCTGGCAGTGATCTAGTGCAGATGCGTCACCAGACGCCCTCAGCTAGATTTTGTATAGAAACGCTGGTGGGGTCAGCATCAATGATAGTGACTTCTTGAACTATTTATTTTGGGATTTATTTATCGCTTCACTTGCTTCATATGGAAACTGATTTTTTCGTAAATCCTCTTATCACCAACTTTATCGACCTCGCTTATTACCTCTGTTTCTCATCCCTTGCTTACATTTCGTTCCTCTCGCAAAATCTTCACTACCAATTAAAAAACAAACTTTTCCGTTTTTTAACTTAGCTATGAAATCTTTTACCTATTAGCATCAGAATTTCCTCCTTATCATTCTGCACATTGCAACCAACTCATAACACGATATACGCCGATATCCAGAAACCGTACTGCCCTGAAACATACGTTTTTATTCGAATCAAGGGACATACGAACTCAAAAGCCACTGGAAACTGACCAGATTAGACAGTCGAAGGCAAGACCCCATCCATTGGACACTACCAGTCACTTGAAAGAGTACTCAGAGAACAAGAATCGAACGCAAGGTTATCAACTGACCTATACTAGCTCGAGAAAAAGATATTGGATAGATATTAGAAATATTTTATTGGATTATACTAGTTCGTGAGGAAAATATTGGTGGATATTGAAATATATATTAGAAGAATACCAAATATCAGACGTTAATAAGTAGCAGTGAATGAAGAAGCAAGAAGTGCATTCAAGGAAATTAACTGATTTATTCCAGTTCGTGAGAGAAATATTGTATTTATTGGATATTGAATGCATTTCGTTGTAACTTATCAACTTTCTTAAATATCATAGCAAAAGTCAGCGATAATTTGAAATGGTAACACAATACCCTGATAAAGTTGATGAGCTTCTTTTGAAAGTACTGTAGTTTTTTTGAGTATATTTCACCAAGACAAGAGATAATTTAGCTCTTATGAACGATATTTTTACGAATGGTTACAAAGATGATGTGGATGAATCTTCTCTACTACAGTCACTTGTAAACAAAACAAACTTAAATGTTAAGGTAACTAATTTTTTGTCATATTGAATACAGAACTTGTCTCATGAACTTGCACTGAAAGCAGCAGGAGAATACTGCTCGCCAATAGAATATCCTAACGACATCCCGAAAATGAGTGACCAATGTTTATTGGCACAACGACCGAAAGTTTCTCTAGAAATAAATGAGAACAATCAAACGTGAGTCAAATTTAGTTTTCACCTTTATCAAAAGTTCCTATTGCAAGGATCAAAAGTTTCTAGGCGTAATAAACCTCTAAAATAACCAGAAATATATAGCTTCTTGGATGTTGATGAAAGCTCCGCAATCATGCCTTATTTAAAAAACTTGTGGAGATGGTTAGCATAGACAGCACCGCAAAAGGATATTATCACTTCACCGTGATAAGCTGTAGTTTATCAATATTGTTTTTCTAATATTAATGTTATTCGGACAAATTCGAAAACAGCCATCAATGTTTTAATTTGTTATGTAATTTCAGTTGAAGCTTGAAATTTATTCTTACGATAATAGAATTTCGGTAAAGTTAGTTGATTATTGTCCTATATTATTGTAAGAAAAGACCAGTTTCTATTGTCGAGTGGATTATGAGTAAACCACTTTATCGAACTAAACAACTGTCATTTTTATGTTCAATGCCAAAACTTGTGCTTGTCATATCACTGATAAAATACTGTTGTAAACTTAAGCAATCTAAAGACTTACTATTAGTCCCAAATAAATTATAACTTGAACACGGTGAAATTGAGTATCTGGGCTTGAAGTGGCCCAAATTGAGTTGTATTTCATTTTTTTACTTATTATAGTACAACACTAAACATTTAACTATAAGGTAGCTCTATTGATTTCTGTCCACAATTGCCAGATGTCCAGCTTGTTAACATGTTACCCTAATGCTTTTAAAGCTGCGCGCTACTAGATAGATTAAGAAATATATCACATGAAGATCAATGGTCTTAGGTGATAGAAGCTAGGTTGTACTAAATCGAAGTCGATTTTCTATCTTCGGTCATACTAATTATGAGTATTAGAATTCTTTGTGCTCGAGATAACAATCGAAAAGTCACAACGTCGCCTAATCATACCAAAAGTTCAACGGAATTTCCACTGTGTTAGGTAGGAACTCTCAGCCTTCATCGAAATAAGTTTATACATGGTAACTGAGCTTCATCAATCTGATTGTCTTGCTGTTTTCAGTTCTATTTATAAACAAATACAATTATCTCTTTAATGTGTCCAGCAAAATTATAATAACTTTTTTCGTTTTTTAAAAGAAATCTCAGCACAAAAGAAAATGGTCAAATAGATGCAATAGACCTTTATCCGCTAAAAAATTTAAGTCCTGGTGAAAAAGTAAGACATTCTATACTTTGTCTATGATGGGTGTACAGATTTATATATATGTTTACATAAACATGAATGAGTACATTTTGGACTAGAGTTGTGCTGGTGTTTTCGAGTAAATACATCTTCGATTGCGGTAATTTTTTATGCGCTTATTTGAGTCGTTTGATTTGTAGCGGCTTCTCATTTTGCTGCGTTTTAAAATGTTATGAACAAGATAGATCAGAATCACGTAAATATATATATATATATATATATATATATATATATATATATATATAATCGGTGCTCTCTTTATAAATGTTGAAAACTTTAGGCTACAGGACCTATCTTTTCCAGACGTTTTTCAGGTTAATTTAGTTGATCTTTCCATATTATGATTAGATTGTAATTAACTGTAGAAAATAAATAAAATCGTTCTGTTCTGTAATATCTGTTTTTCTAGCTCTGTTTTTGTTGATGCAAAAGATTTAAAACGGCAGGATACTTTTTATCATGTTATATTATTTGAGTTCAGTAATTTAAGTGTAAAGTTCTCGTTGTCACTCTGGCCAACATAATCAGTGCTTACTTTGTTAGTCTAAAGTAACTGTAGAGTTTATTTGGACATCGATAGAGAGAGAAATAACATAACTAAGGATGATGTAATTACGAAATGCTATGCACTTGTAGTGAAGGAGAACAGAGGTGAGGGCAACCGAATTGTAATTAACGAAAATTACAGAGTTACTCAGGAAAATAGGAAAACCATATCGTAAACGGTTAATTTGCAAATCTTCAATCCATTATCAATCCATTGTCTGACATATGACTATTCATGCGTTTCATACAAATTCCATTGTGTTCAAACTCTTCCTTTCTTGATTTTCCCTCATCTTCGGCTGCCAGACATTACGTTTACACTCGCGTCATATACTACTTATAAGTAGCGCGCACTACACTCTAACCAATACTAGCTGTTGATTATCTTAAAAAGTATCATAGTGCTTTGTTTCGTGTACTTTTTACCAGTTGTATATTTTTAATAATAATAGATGATATAATATTTCTTTCCTTCTTCGTCATCTTTCATAATTCAGTTCAAATTAGAAAATGCTTTGAAAATATTAAGTGATCCAAGTCATCCATTCAATCGTCAAACAGTAGAAAATACATACGGAATACAATTGCCAACAATATTACACACACGTGTTACCGAAGAACAACAACAAGTATAGTTTATTAATATGCTGAAAACGTTTTGTCAAAATACAGATTTTATGATTGATATCTCATTAGGCTAATAAATACAATTTTTATTGAAATGAAATATAATTTACAAATAGTGTATAAAACGATAAAGTGATAGAAACTAGGATTAATTTAAAACTATCATCAGGCCAAAATTAAGGTGGTTTCTAAAGTGAGTAGAGAAAAACACTACAGAAGGAAGTCGGTTATCGTGTGTGCGAAGTGTTTGCTTTAAATAGATAAAATGTGACTAGCGATGAAATCCAAACCATTTAAACTATTTAAAACTGGATTAGAAGGTGTTTAGTGAATATAATGCTCACATTGATATGCTTTTGAGATTACGGTAAACATTCTCAGCTAAGCTTCAATATAAGGATGCTACAGCCTATCTGTATTTCTAATCTCGGCTACTCCGAGAAATGATCTTGAAAGAAAGACTTTTTTGGTTCAAGCGGAAGAAGATTAATACCAACCGTTTGAATTGTTTTGTGACTGGAAGAGAACTGGCATAATTGTGTTAATAATGTGATTTTCTGATTTTTATATACAGCAATGATTTCTTTTGTATATCATTCAGTGGCTAATTTGAATTCCGAATATAGTACTTTCGACTGTGCCCACAGAGGTCCTTCAGACTTCAGTACTGATTCACAAGTGATTACTAAAGTATGCATTGGATACTTCTAGGCATTAATAATTATTACACATGATCTTAGCTCAGAGAGCCGACGTGACTGGGATCGGGGCTTGCATTTATTCCCTGTGAACGAGGAATTTGTGGTAAGTGCAGGTCATAAGCTTGCGCTGATTACGTCCCTGACCTTTGTACACACCGCTTGTTGCTGCTAGCGATTGAATGGTTTGGTGAGGTTGTTGGATTGGTGTCGTTGTAGTAGCTTTGCCGCTCGACTGATGCCGAGATGACCTAATTTGACTATTTAGGGGAAAGTAAAAGTCGTAACAAGGTTTCCGTAGGTGAACCTGCGGAAGGATTATTAACAGAATCTCAAAAATGAACATAATTACAAATTATATTTTGAATTACTTTGACCGGGGTACCTAGCCTGTAATGTGCTCTGATGGTGTCCTCGTGACTTTCGGGTTGCCTGATCTGCCAAGGGCGATGGGACAGTGCATGACGCTACTGTTGTGTGCTAGGTTCAAAGAGAGTTGTATGCGATATGCGTGCACTCCGTCCCGTTATTTTTCCCCTTTCAAACATTTTGCACTGTTTAAGCGGCTCGATTTGTCTTGCCATTTAAGGGTTTGCTGACTTACATGCACCTGGCTTCGTGCTGGATTGCATGTACACTGGTTTGGCGGTAAATATTGTAGGTATAAATAATTATCGTGTAGAATTTTATTACTTCTCATTATCATAGGTTGCCAAATTAATATCGATTAGATTTAAGGACAGATGACAAACATCTACATAATATCAAGATTTACACGACATCAAAAACTGATCAAAACTACGTTTAAATATACTAACTTACATAGGTTTTCTTTTACACTGATTAGCACTCAGATTTCGAATAAATTCAACTGAGTGCCACTGATCAATTATGAAGCATTAAGAATAACATAGCAAATTTAAATTGATGCATTCAAGGAACAGAATTGATTTACTGAGTTATTACATTTATTCCTTGCTAATTATTTTTATTTGACAAAACATTTTTCACATGAATGGCTACTTCTGCAATCAGTTATTATTAACATTCAGCTGTCGATTTCAGTTCAGGTTTTACAATAGAATGGATTTGTTAAATATTAGAATTATAAAGGTAGCTAAATGAATTTTTCACTGTCAGTACTAAACCTCAAATTATAACCGAGTAAATTCCAGACGTTTTACTCACTAACCAACCGAATGAAATCGAAGTTATCAACCAGTGGTGACATCGTAAGATGATGAAATAAGGATAAACGTGAAGGTCACAAACAGTTGATAAGATTTAACTTTGGTCTATTATTATCAGAAACCATTTTAAAAACAACAATTATTTTGAATTGTTGAGGCGTCTGGTTTTATTTGAATGTTATTGTTCATCTTTTGCCTCCTACTAAAAATTTCTTTCATTAAAGATGAAACAGTTGGAAGAGTAAGCTAATAAATAGCCATTAGTTTTCAATAATAATAATAATTTTAGTGCTATCTGTTTACAAAGTATAAGTTTATTATGCAACTTGTTTCAAATCATACTAATTTTGTAAAAGATTTGGAATACTTACTACTCAATTGTTGAAAACAAGCATCCGATTAAAAAAAATTTATCAAACATTCAACTTAATTGTTTAAAAGATGATCTCTATTATCACTAAGTCATTGCATATGCAAAGAACTTACAAAACTCAAGCATATAGATAGATCTTTCATTTAAAAACTTTTCGACATCTCTTTTGTTTTATACTTCATTTCAGAAAAAATTACAAGAAACTAAGAGTCAATCAAATGTTCCATTGACTACTGTTAAAAAAAAGAAAAATTTAAAAGTATGTTATGAAATATTGTGATCGTTTGTTTTTTTCTTAAAAAAAATTTTCTAAAATAAATAGAATATATAACTTTTCATTAATGAGTAATGGAGATAGTTGTTTATTGCTGAATCCATGAATCATTCGTTGTTAGAGCACCAGTAGAAACCTAAAAGCATTGAATAGCCGTTCCGTCCTATTATAGGACTCATCAGCAGTCCGCATCCAAGACTCCTAACCGTAGTCCCTAGGTCTTACGTGCGAATGTCCAACCTTCGGACCATTGGGCCGGCATCCAGCGATTTATGGAACAACAATCTCTATAACTATGTTGAGTTTACATTTTGACACGATACCTGTAAAGTAACCAGAATGAAGCAGAAATGATTAGTTTCACCTCAAAGCTTTTACTGTTCACAGTACTCATAAACGTTTACTTAAAGAAAGCTATGACCAATGGAAAGTTTTCTATGATTTAAATGCAACTCCAACCCACCAAAGTCACTTAGGCTAAAAGAGAAATTACAAAACAGTCATACCTCCAATCAATTTTATGATCAAGATTGTTCCAAAAAATATATAATTCAGTGAATAATTGGTTACGGTATTTTTAAACAACGTGACGACCTGGAGTTTAGCCTCATTTTTATTAACCGTTTACTTACAGCTGTTACTCCTAATGGAGCATAGGTCACCGACTAGCATTTCTGAACATACTGTGTCTTGGGCCTTGCTTTCCAGTCCTACTCAATCGCTATTCATTTTTTCTTAGGTCTGTTTCTGCTTCTCGGTGCAGCATGTTCCTTAGTCTGCCTCTCTTTCGTTGAACTTGAGGATCGCAATTTATGGTTTGCATGTGATCCATTAGGGTGATTTCCTCAATATGTGTCCAATTCACTTTCAGGGTTTTCTTCCTAATTTCTTCCTCATCTGTAGTCTGGTTGTTAGTCTTAGCAGTTATAGTGACTGAGATCTTAGGTAGAATTTAGGAGCTGGACGTAATCCAATCTGGCTGGTCACAATCACTAGCTGTGCAAACCTATACGAAAGGATAAGCTTCCTCTTATGACAATCACAAAGGAATCAGTTTAACTAATGTTGCTTCAAGCTTGGCTCGAGTCGGCAGCTGAACTATCGATAGGGAGTCAAGTAGTTCAGCATGTTGACCGTTTCGATTATCTTCTAAGTTTCCATCACTTCTGATGGTCTGATGAGTGACGAACTCTCGGAAAATATACAGTAGGCTAGATTGGCTTTTGCCTACTTGCATCACTTGTGACGTAGGATCGATATCTGTCCGTCAACCAAAGGACAAGTTTACTATGCAACAGTTAGCTCCGTTCTATGTAACCTGAGTAAAATATAACAGCCAAGCATAGAGGATGTCCATAGATTACTAGTATTCATTCATAAGCGTCTTCGAAGCATTGCTTGTATATTCTGGGACCATTGAGTAAGCAATCCTGTTGTTCGAATACGAGGACTAGGTAAGGATGGCAAATCAATTGGTGAAGTAGTGAATGTTCATCAGCCACCGACTAGTCTAGGGTGGTGCATCAAACCGTTAGGGGCATTAGATCCCCAGAACTCACTTGACAGATTTTATGCTTTCGCTTATGGGCTGATCAGTTGACCTTGAGATGACATTTCCCACCCGAAAAATCCTTGATGTCATTGGTTGATGCGTTATTTTAGTCCGCTATTTTGCGACTCTCCCGATTTGTGTGCTTGTAGAATGAACTTTCTACTGCATATCAAGACGTCTTCCTCTACTTAGTGCGGCCTTGAGGTGCTCAGATTAGAATAGCCTATCTTGTCACTGCATCATTTATCTTCACTCTGGTTTATCGACTAAGGTGAACTCGTAGTAGTTTCAAGCATATCAATTGACGAGCATAACACATACTAACAGTAAATGGCCATAGTTAACAATATTTTAATATAAAAATTGAAAGTGATATTTAGATGATACAGTTTAAAAACTGTTGCGTCATAATATTGGTACATCAATGATTATAGCTGATTTTATACTATTACAAGTCAAGTTTCATTGAAATTGTGAACTGATTACTGTTCCCCTAAAAGCCCTAGAGGAAGCTGTCACATTCTAGTATGGGACTCATCAGCAGTGCTCATCCATTATTCCATAAGCTCAATATTGTGGATTAAATGAAGTTAGATATTAGCAGTGTCGGATACCGGTCCAGTGGTCAACAAACAGGTTGGACTTTCGTGTGCAACACCTAGGGTTCCGGATTCAATGTCTGTTCGCGGGGTCGTGGATTTGCATTGCTAATGAATCCCATCCTAGGACGAAACAGCCGTGTGGTGCTCTTAGGTTTCTAACTGTAGTCTTGCATTGATCAATCGAACACTTCGATGAAATCCAACAATCTCCACAATCCTACACTGACAAGATAACTATTTTAAAATGCCTTCTCTGTAAACAGTTGGTTTTCATAATAAATTGTCTTCACCAAAGAAAAAATATTAAAAATCCCAGTTGTTATCACCTTTTGCTCCAATGATTCACTTACATTATACGTTTCTTAAACCCTTGACTCTAGCAGCAACGTATGAATAAACTGAGTGACGCTTCAAAACCGAAACTGAATTTTTAAAAATGTACATAACAAATGAGTATATGGTGATGTACCTTGACTTGCATAAAAATAGGTTATATGGTCTGTTATTTCCGTCAGATAAATAATTTTTTTACACATCCACACAGTGCGCATCCACGACTCCTGCACCTCACAGGATTCGAACCCGAACCCTCGGTATTATGCGCAAACGCCTATCTATCACGCGAAATCCGTAAATCAATCAGAGTCAGACATTAACACCGTTGGATGCCGGCCCAGTGGTCCGGTGGTTAGGCGTTCGCCCACAATACCGAAGGTCCCGGT